TTAATGATAACAGAATCTATATTCATTACGGTCACACGCTGGATACATGTAACAAGGGTGATTCGGCAGTACAGCTATCAACAACTTGGAATACAATTCTGAATACAAAAACATGAATGACCAAAAAAATGAAGTTTGTATATACGAGTACAAATCATAAATGTATGAACTAAAGCAAACAAAACAATTCCAACAGTGGTGTGAACACGGGAAGTAGTAAATCCGAGGACAAAAAGTTTCCAAGGTAAGAGTTACCAGAGTAACTGAAATTCTTCGAATACATACATTAACTTTCAATGATTTTTATTGTAAAAGCTTAATTAAAACGAAGACGACTTGGTCTGTTATGTCTGTTAATTATTTGGAATGCTTCAAATGCGTCTATTCGGTGTCTTGTGTATAACATTAAATCGAAGGCTGTTTGGTGAATGTTCAAAGAATCAGACAAATGCCCTTCTTTCTCTTCGCCAAACTGAACTACTCTCATGAAATAATAAAATAATTTTTCCTTTACGTTGCCAGACGAACATAGGGCATCAAGCTAGTGACTTGAAGTTTCTGTAGCAGTGTTTATTTTTACAGGATGGGGTTCCTAGCCTCATGCCCAACCTTTCCTCTTTACCAGCATTATTTCTGACTTAACGAGGTAGAGGAGCGCATCAGCCGGGAATCGAGCCCCGGACCATGTCCACGGTCGGCAAGCATCCTAACCGCTATGCCACCGACACATGGTTACAGATGAATTAATACAGACAGTTGGATGTACAACATGAGGGGTGCTTGTCAATTTTTGACTTTACATCGAGCAGGATATTCGGAGTAGAGAGAATAGTTTTTGTTATCGGACACGTCATCATCTCTATGCTTTGTTTCACTGTGACTTTCTTACAACAGTCCTTCTTGGGAGGACTACTTCATAGTGATAAAACAATTTATGTTATTAGATGGTTGGGAGGCAGTCGGTAGGAAGCTTTGCTTGACCCAGGTTTCGTGCTAGTTGGCACTTATCAGTCATCAAGGAGTATCTGCAACCACATTGAAGGAACTCACTTCCCTTCTGAGATTCGAACCTGCACCACCCAGTGAATGCTACAGTCATAGACGTTACCACTGAGCTATTTTAGAGTTGTTGTTGACCTCCTGAAGGACTGTAACGGATTATTTAGATTGATTGATACTAGTAACTAGTGTGATATGTATGTCTCTAGTCGTAACTTGTGTGCAGACCGAATTCTATCAGTCAAGTTGACAATGTGACCACCATGCCGTTAGGTGGCATGTCATCACCGTGCATTGTGAATTGCTGGACTAGACACATTACACTGGTTACTGATTAGTGTCCAATCAAAAGACAAAAATTACGTTGAAATTTTGTGATAACTGGTTTTATTAAATATCGTATATATGTGTTGTACACAGCTGATGAGAACCAACGAAGCAAAGTAAATCGCATTATTCTGAACCAATTTTTGTTCGATGCCTACTATTTATTGTTAAGCAGTCTTATTACCACTACCACCACCACACTTGGTGAGTATCTAATTGAGAAAGTAAATATTTCTTCATAAATTGAATTGACCATAAATTTGAAATTTACTTAGAAGTGATTCTGCTCTCTGACAAGAGTTGAACAGGATACTGCATGGCTCATAAGATTGACCTCAAGCAAACGAAATAACCATTCGATGTTTAAATCTCCTTGATCAAGCTGGCTACCAAGCACTAGCGTAACTGGTATAATAACTACTCATCACTAGTTATCAGTAGCATATAGTCTGTGTAAGGATTTCTTCGCTGGATCATTTCGTCTTCTAAACTAGAAATAATAGATCCATGTTGTACAGAGTCTATAAGCTCTCTCAAACCTGTGAATTAATGACGTAAAATACATGTACATATATGTGCTATTAAATACTGATACTGATATCTTAAAATAATAGTCGTGATTCCCGGATGTAAGTAGTTTGACACACCATTGCTGACCACAGTGTACCAAAGAAGATAATGACAGATCAGGCTTCTCATTTTGAAAGCGAAGAATTCATATCCCGTCCTCAAGAAATGGGTATAGAGAAGATTAGAACAACGTTATATCATCCAGAAATGAATGCTTTGATAGACACAGAGGAATAACCATAAACTAAAGGAGTGGCTGGCCTCGAATGAAGGTAACTAGGCGACAGAGCTTTTATTGATTCTTCGAGCACACTTTGCTCCCACGTTGGAGACAAAAAAGATGTTGTCCTTTCAGTCGATGTATGGTACAGAACCACAAGTAAAAATACACAACAAGACCTGATCCCTTCGTCAAATGTGAAGCATGACGAGATTGTGAACAGAGCGGAAAGAAGTCATCAGGAGTTTAGGGCATAAACAGAAGATAGACGTCGCGAAATCTGAACAGCTAGAATAGTTCGATAGCTGGGAAAATATTGTACTCAATACAACATTTAATACTACTCGGAAAAAATATTCTGGAGATATGTGGATGACTGACACTTTCACGCACACACACACACACAGTGTGAAAAAACAGAACATATCAGACTCTAGCTTCTTGACACACACACACACACACACATAAATTCATGCACTAGTAAAAGGAATAAAATAATTCACATTTGAGTCGGAAAATCCATAAACAAGGAGAATTGGTTATGCTGCTGGATTGTAAAATAAATCTAATAGAAGAAGGTAAACTGCACTGCACACTAGGCGTTTATAAAAAGCCAAAGCATTCTGCTAATAGATATTTGGACTTTAATTCATCTCATCTGTCGTTGTCTATCTGTTAAAGGCTGAGGCATAGCACTGAGTAGCACTAGAATAGACCTAAACGATGAAATGCAAGAGATAGAAGAGGCGTTGGTGTCGAATAACGATCCTATAAAATTCATTAGGAAGATCAGAAAAAGTCAAAGCAAAATAAAAATAATGGTGAAACTAATAATGATAGCATAAATAAGAGAGAATATAAGTCATCTACTGTTACACCATATTAGAAGGGGACATCTGAGACCCTACGTAGATTCTTAATTAAGCAGGAATTAGGCTGGTGGCATTCACACAACTACAAACTCACTTAGAGACAAGCTCTATAAACTAAAACGACCCGGTGGACCCAATTAAATAAAATAATATAATTTACAAAATGCCTTGCAACTACTGTGAGTTAAGTCACCTACTAAGTACATAGGTTAAACTAGAAGATCGGGCGGAGTTGTCAGATTGTCTGTGAGAAGATTAGAATTTAGCTAAGGTTAGGAATGGTTGAACCCATTTGCGAAGATAAGTAATTTAGAAGAAATCTCAGCACTTCATTGCACTGCATGCATTAACAAGGCACAATCACACAAAAATAGGGTGGGAAGGAGAGGAGTAATATAGGCAGGTAGAGATACAGAGAGACTGACTACTGAATCCTGGTTTATCGAGTCTACACCCAACACATGCAACAGAAATAACTCAACGTAAACACCAGAGATATGCATGGAAGATATTATTACCATCAGTCAGTCAGTCAAATCAGAGGAGGATAATAAATAATCTCAAAATTCTATTTCAATTCACGTATATCATAACATTCTAACAAGTTACTTATTTATTTTGACTAAAAAAACACTCGTGTTATTTCCCATCTGATTGTATTTGATTGATAACACTCATATTATTATTTCTGAATGCACATTATCCTATATTGATTTTTATTCAAATGTCTAGTCATCAGTTTCACTCATGTATATAAATGAAGCGAGAAAGTTGTGTGTGAATGACTTGAGCAATAGTTTGTGCTCGAAATGTGGTCATCAGTAAACATTACCGTGTAACATTGTAAGACTTTATCAGGAAAAAATCTTATCTTTAATGGAGTTATACTCTACCATCACAGTGCCCACGTTTTATATTTATATGAATGAAGTGCACAACTTTTCAAGTCAGCAGTGAAGTAAAGTGTAGAGAAAGTAATTACATGAGGATCATGGAAACGCTTTCTGAATTGGGAAGGGGCATACACTATCACTGAGAGACGTCTTCCAGTTTATACCATCAAAAGAGGAGGTAAGCAAAAAACAGGGGTTAACGTCAGCCAACTGCAGAAGTAGATACACTGGAACAAGGAAAACGCGATCAAGGCACAACAAGAATAGGCAGAACCAAGAAGGTCTCAGAAGTTCCCCTCCAAACTAATTGATAGGGACATCGGCATAAAAACATCATATAGCAGGGAGATAGATTTGATGTCAGAGAAAAAGAGATAATACACTTAATTCGTGAATAGTGGTTAGCAGTGGAATCCAGAATGCGCATTTCGCCAGCTGAACGTGTCTGAAACCGAGCACTTCGGTCCAATCAATCGACGGGAAAATCAAAAATTGAAGCAAATCAATAATACAATCTTGCAGAGAAAAATGGGAGACGTGAAAAGAAAACAAAAGAAAGACAATACAAAGAGACGAAGTATCACATCACAGAAGATCTGTGCAAACAATAATGTCTATATAAGGCAACTATAGTTTCCCTAAGTATGTGTATGTCAAATTTCTAAAAACATTTCATAACCAAGTGTCTTGTCTTCTTCCGTTAAGGTGGTAGTGATTTCGCCTATTGATTTGGCGAAAATTTACTGAATGAAAATAGGGATTTTTTGAATTAGGGTAGAAAAATTGTTTCTTTAAAAAAATCTTTTTTGAAGATTATACTACCGTCAGATTCATTTGTAAGAGCAAAAAACCGGGAAACTTACACCAATTGGCAAAAAAACTCTATGGAATATATATTGACCAATCATTTTGCTAGATGAAATAACCAATAAGAATTGAAAGGACATATACCCTAGTAGCCAATCATATTTCAGTAAAATTTAAGGACAAATAAAGTTAATTGGTTGGTATTATGACAGGAAGTGTTTAATTAAAACTGAATTCAGCTGAGATCTAACTGACACAGACATTCCCTTCACCTAATAATTTTGATCTGATCTGATCTAATTTATATTACTTATGGATAGAAGACCATCAGGATTTTCTAAAATACCTTCAATTGGATCACGATCCGTTCTTATCGCTATCGATGGATCTGAACATTCAAAAAAAGCTTTTCAACATTATCTGAAATGGCTTCATAGACCAGATGATACCGTGACAATATTTCATGCTGTAGAACCAATCTCCCTACCGAGTATTTCCCTATCAAATCCAATTAGTGTACCAAGTGATGAATGGTCAAATATTGTACAAGGTAATGTAAAGCGTGTTCGACAACTTGAAGATGATTATAGTGCGGAGTGTATAGGTCGTAATCTAACATATCAATTTCTTTATGAACCTGTTGAACATATTGGTTCAGCGATTGTACAAAAAGCTGAAAAATATCAAGTGAATTTACTAGTGGTTGGTAGTCGTGGACTTGGTGCTATCAAACGGACAATTCTGGGCAGTGTCAGCGATTATGTTGTACATCATGCGAATACAGCGGTTTGTGTTGTACCCTATATTGATGAACAGAAAAATAATAATGCGAAAAGTTGAATTTCCCTCATCTATTCCAATAATTTCAATAAGACATTAAACCATTGAACTGCCGCCATGTTTCAATTGGGAAGAAATCGTGATCATCCATTATTATAAAGGTTTGTTTAATCGACAACATTTCTTCAATTGACACTAGTGATATACAAGTATATTTTATTGACTTATTTTTGGTAGTTACCTGATTTCATCGTGTGCTTTTCACCCGTTAAGCTTGTTTGTTTAAGTATGTGTGCGTTGATGTGACTATGTGTCGGTCGCCGATTTTGCGCATTTTTTAAAATCTCATCACATTTCAAGGTTTTTTTCATTCTTTTGTAAATTCATATTTTTCTTCAAGAAAATAGGCTAGTGAACTGATTACTGTTGATGTTTCGTCTTGTATATGACTCATCAGCCGAAAACTAATTTAGACTTTAGCCAACATTGAAGTATTTTGAGAATCAATAGAGATTTTGCTTTAATTTTGTCATCTATTAATGTGTAAAACAATAAACGAATATACCTTAGTTAAAAATGTCTCACCTTTTTCGCTTATAGTTCACTAGTGGTAATGTCGGTTTCACGATTTCAGTAATCGTCAATTTATTTTTAAGTGTTTTGCAGTCCAAGTGGAACAAAAGGCTTCAAAGGCTGATTTCTGAAGTTCAAACAATATAATTGTTCGAAAAATGTATTACGTAATTTAAGGTGTAGTCTAGAAGGAATAACTAATTGGGAGTTAGAAAAAAGGGCAGAAGTTGGCATGATGTAATAAGTGTGAGATAATGGCCGATCAATAAGCTCGTGTAGAATGGACAGGAACCAGTGGAAAGACGATAAAATGTCTTTATATAAAATCTGTATGAAAAAGCAGTGTTGTCAATAAGCAGCGTGGTCACCCAGAGGTTTCCCACCCTCGAACACCCTGTCATCTCTGGACAACGAGAACCCTTATCTGCAGGAATGCTTCACTGTGCTACACAGAGTCCCTCAATATCATACAGAGGGACTTCGCATACACCATCTTCACATAACTGAAACATTGTCTTTCAAGTATTGGTTTGTAGGGATTCAGTTGATTGGTTACAGGATTTCATCATGAGCTCACATCAGTTAGAGAACCATTGGAAAACCTTGGAGTACTGGGCAGCTGTTTCCTGCGTCCTAGTTTGAGGCTCTTCAGCAGTACGCACCCACCGCGATTCGAACTCAGGACCTTCTGTTTACAAGGCGAGCTTGTATACCATTAAGCCAATGGGACCCTATCCAGTCACCAGTGCATGAATTCTAACTTCTTCCAGTGGAAAGTCGTGACCAGTAGGGTGCAGCTGGCTGGGTGGGAGGACAAATACTTGCCGAAGGCATTGGCTAGCGGTCGCGCTATGTAGTCAATTGACAGGAGTTAGAATTCATGAGCTGGCCATTGGATTGGGTCCCAGTGGCTTAATGGTTTACGAGATAGCTCGCCAACTTGTGACCAGAAGGTCCTGCGTTCGAGTCCCGGTGGGTGCGTACTGATGAAGAGTCCCAAACTAGGACGAAACAGCTGTCCAGTACTCCGTGGTGGTTTTCCAATGGTTCTCTAACTGATGTGAGCTCATGATGAAATCCTGTAACTGAAACATTGGCTATTCGGGATTTGAAACTTGACCTATGCATTCAAAAGTGCTACATACATTCACTCGCCCCACATTGGCCAGAGTTAAGTTCCTACTATAATCTTGTTTCTTCCTTTTTATTATGTAACTTCACTATTATTATTAGTAGTAGTAGTACTATTATTATTTAATTGTCATTATTAATCCAATCATCCATATTTTATTACCACTATTATTATTATTATTTATTTATTGCTCCCTTGGGTTCCTAGTGAAATATAGGGCTTCAACTGCACGTCTCCACTTGCCACTTCTGTCTTCCTTCTGCTGCACTTTTCGCCTGCATCCATGTTAGTCCGTATTCTTTCAACTCCTCTTCACACCATCTCCTCCATGTCACCCTTGGACGTCCCACACGCCGCTTCACTTTCGGCCTAGTTCCGCTCGAGGGCTTGACGCGCGATGTCACCCAGCGGTCTCCTCAGCGAGTGTCCGATCCATCTCCACTTTCTTCTGCATATTATATGGGCGGCGATTGGTTCTTGCTTTGTTTATTCACATAATTCCTTGTTGGTGATTCTTTCCGGACATCTGATCTTCAGTATAGAGCAGTTGTTAATAAAGGTCTGCAGCCTTTTGGAAATATTCTTTGTGACACGCCCACCAAGTTTCTGATCCGTATAGAAGAACTGACTTTACGTTTGTATTGAAAATCCCACTTAATTTTGTTGGTGATGCTGAGTGGCGAAGATTTCCAGATTGATTTCAGGTTGATGAATGTGTTTCTCGCCTTCCCGATTCTCGCTCGATTTGACATCCTCGTCCGTTCCGACTGCCTGCAGTTGAGACAATGCTCCCTAGATAAGTGAATGAAGTAACCTCTTTCAAATCCCTCCCGTTGATGGTGGTTGGCGTTGGATGTTGTTGCTGTTGTTGGTTGGTTATTTTCATAACCTCCGTCTTGTCTATGTTCACTTGGAGTCCTGTCTTCGCTGGCTGCTTCTTCGACCAGTTTGTCGGTTTTCGCTTGTAAGTCTTCGATTATGTGTGACATCAAACATAAGTCATCGCCGCGCGAAATCCAGGTCTTCTTGGTTCTTCACGTCGTTTGGTCCAGGATATTCCTGTCTTCTCGTTTCCCACTGTCTGACGCATAATCCAGTCCACCACTATTAGGAATATCGTTGGTGATAATATGCACCCTTGTCCGACTCCTGTTTTTACTCCAAACGCCTCTCTGAGTTTTCCGTTGTGGATCACTTGACATGTGCCGTTGTCGTACAGCTAGCTGTTGAATAACGTTGATGAATATTTGGGGCATTGTACGCCATAGTACTCGAGTAGTTTCCAAATTACTTCACGATCAACGCTGTCGAAGGCTTTCTCAAAGTCTATAAAGTTGAGGTAGAGGTTTGATCACCATTCCATGCTTTGTTCTGTGATGATGATGCGTAGAGTTGCAATTTGGTCAGTACATGATTTTCCTTTCCTGAATCCAGGATTTTGATATCGCCATTTGAGACGTTGTCCGTTGTTGCTTGTAGTCGTCTGTAGAACGCCTCCTTCTTCTCTTGTTCTGAGACGTTTGTAGGCGCATAGCATTGAATGACTGTAACTTTCCTTCCTTTTGAGTTGAACCTGGCTGTCATTATCCTGGAGGAGATTGGTTCCCACTGCATGAGAGCTTTGGTTGCTGTTGGTGACATCATGATGGTCACTCCCTCGGTGTGCTCATGGTTGTCCTCTAGGTGGCCGGAATAGATTACTGTCTCTCCAGTGGGTAGTTGTCACCTTCCAGTTCCGTTCCATCTGCTCTCGCAGATTCCCAACACTTCTATTCTGTACCTTCTCATTTCAGCGGCTATCTGGGCAGCCTTTTCAGTTTCGTACATTGTGCGAACATTCCAGATACCCATCCTTACTTTTGCTTTCATCGAAAGAAGGCACATCGGCTATCTGGCTTCCCGAAGGCTAGCTGTCACCAGCCTGCGTCATTTCACTTCCCCGATTCCAGCGAAAAGTAAGGCAATTGCTTATGTTTTTAGAATTTTTAATATATTTATTCGTTGAAGTTTCTGTAACGATTAGGTTGTTTTACAGGGGTGGAGTTGCTAGCACCACGCACCAACCCTCCCTCTTTACCCGTGTTTGGGACCGGCGAGAAAACTAGTAAGCTATTAGCCTAGCTAGCTAGTCTCTGGCGAGGTTTTATTACCACTATATTACTGTTTATTAATAACATTACGTTTTCATGCAGACTTTGTATATAAAGACACTTTGTCGTCTTTCTAATAGTTCCTGTACATTCTACACGAGCTTATTGATCAGCCATTATCAAACACTGATTACATCATGTCAACTTCTGTCGCTTTTCTAACTTACAATTAGTCATCCTTTCTTACAACTTACATTATGTATTATAATTTTTCAAGGACAAAGTTTACCAGTGTCTGAATGGTTGTCTTATGATTTAGAAAATCAAAACAAGTGATTCAGCGAAGAGACTCTTTTCAACGAATTTATCATCAAGCTGTACAGTCGTATATATATGGTTTATCAAAAGTTATATCCGGTGAGGGAATTGAATCTTAGGTGTGAATGCACAAAATAATAATAATAATAATCATATGAAGTTCAATTAAAACTAAAATGTTTGCGATTATAGTCGTAGTTAAATGTCAAGTAGCAAAGCAGATTTAATGTCATATATAGAATAATTCATAGGATGGATAGAACTTAAAAAAAGGTGTGCAATTATAGGATTAGTAGACAAATCGAATAAAATAAAAACGTTACGTAACAATGTGTGAAATTTGATAACATAGAATTTAACTTTGCAGAACAGAATTGATTTAGAATGACAAGTGGAATAATACCGGGGACAATTCAAAGTGAGGATGGTAATAGCAGTTACAGTTGACATTGTAATAAAGGAAGAGTACACAAAATTGAATAGACAAAACGAAAGAAATTAGTACAACCAAAAGATGATTGGGGATTACCATACTTTAGCATAGAGGGATTAAGACCATGAAAGTTGGAGGGTCTCTTCTTCAAGAATTGAAAACATTCATTTCCTGATACGAATTTAAAACAAGCAATAAAGGTTAATAAAGCAGGATTTAATGAATTCATCAAATTTCGGTAGAACTCTCCGTCAGCTGAATACTCTACATACACGGATATAGATACTTTTGAAATTACATTGGAGATATAAGACTGATAAGTAAATAAACTACATTGAATTAGTCATGCAGAAAGACACGTGCGAATGTTTTACAGGTCATGTTCAAATAGATGTCAGCAAACAAAGAAACAAGAAGATGCTTGCAATTACAGAGGCTTGTGCATTTCGAATTTATAAACCAGCTCTCTGTATACAAAAGGAGATGGTAGTGACTCTGAGTCTACCATGGTAAT